AATACGAAGGATTAAATACGTAATTTTTCAGAAACATTTTTAGACGTGACAGAAGAAGATGAGATTCCCATTAATCTTGGCGTTGATCCTGGCGATATTTTCTGCAACGCTGACGATGAGGCAAGACGACGATTACATCCATTTGCCGGGCAAGAGCTGCGAAGACGCTCCACCTTGCCCCGATGGTCGGCCCTGCGTGATGTCACCGCCTTCGTGCAACGCGGGTACCTGCGGCACAGATCCGGTGCCCACGTGTGGCAAGTTGTGAATGCCGCGGTCTTGTAAGAAGAAATCCAAGTGGTCCTCGACCAGACCACTGTTCATCCTGCTCGTTCATCGATTTGCGCGTATGTTTATGGACGTCGTGGTAGACGTATGACGTAACCGTGCTGTTACTTGCCAAATAAAGCGATTTCACGCTCTATCCACTTCGTTCGCTTTCATTTTACCAATTAGGGGTGACTGGGGCCGGCTCGATTCGAAATTTCGTAGTCGAAGTGGAGAGAACATTTGCCAACACCGATCGGTGATCGACGTCGAGCGAACTCACTCGCGTAGAATAACTAGCTGGACTTCGTGGTGCGTGACTGAAGCCAGAACGACCGTTCGTGAGTATCGTGTTTTACAGATTTTTCGATACTACGTGTCTTTCTTCTCGTATTTTTTAAAAGAAAAAAAGATTCTTATGAACCTTCAGTTCAACTAACTGCTCGTAATCCTAAATTTTTCTTAAGGAAATCATGGTACAAGGATTCGCGTCTCAACTTTAATAATGACGAAATTCTTTTAGCCATGGAATGAAATGAAAAGAAGAAAACAAATTATTAATTTCTGGTATTGGTAAAGATAACTATTAGTTTTGGTATTTGGTGCGGTTGAAATAAATTACTTTCGACTTATCGCGCAGAGTTTAATCAATGTTCACGACAATCAACGTGAAAGCAACGTTGTTCGTTCGAACCGACGAAGAATATCGAGTGGAGTTTTCGTTGCAACACGACGAAGCCGCGTTCGTCGTCTCGTGTCGACAAAACGAGCCTTGGCAAGTGAATTCTTCGTGAGCAATGACTCACGAGGCGATTACCAAAGAAGACAGCTTGCACCGGGCTTCTCCCTCTCCCCTGCCCCCCTTTCTCGTGTTCTTCTCGTCATGCGTGTGTCCCGAGCACGCGCCTCCGTCGTCGATTCCATCGAATTTCTCTCCGCTGGCGAGACGTCCACCAACGTAAAATGATACCGGAAATTGCGGTAAAGTGGTGCAAAGCCACTCGGTCGGGGGTGACCGAGATGGGCATCGACTTTCTCGACAGTCGAATACCCGATATCCTGCTCCGCAGAGATAGATGGAAACTTCGCGGCTCGTTCTCGTCTTTGATACACGAAATTACTTGGAAAACGGAGGCTGGGGCAAATCCGCTTGCCACGAGTTCCCTCGACGTGTTGTAAAGAGGGCTCGTCGAAGGGAAACTCTGCCTCGATGCTTTAGAGAATTTTCGACGATTATGGCCAACGTTATGAACAATGTACGAGCAATCAAAGTACATAAGTCGCCGATCACACGGTGTCTCGTTTTAATCTAGAAATGCAATTATCATCGAAATTATTTAAAAAGAATGTCTCGAATGTATTTTCTTTCTGTTTTAATTATACAGGGCAGTAATTTGGTACATTTAGTTTATTTCTAGATAGGAGATATCAAGGTCCACCACTATTTTCTTTAAGTGTAACCAAACTCGTCATGCTCTTTTCTTAGTTTGTACAAATTTATAACTTTTATAAATGTTATTTTTTACATGAAATCAGAGGCTTTCTGCACAATTCGCAGTCAGATGAAATAATTAATTATTGGTCGGATATCTAATTGGAAGACTAATACTTATATTTACGTATTCAATATAAAGTCGCATTTAATGTATATGTATTTACATATTCAATATTGTATTAGTTTGATTAAAAACGAAAGGCGTTTTTTTTTTTTTGCGTGCAAATGGAAGGCGAATTTTGTCCATTTTCGTTCGATTATTTTTTGCCATTTTTCAGCGGAATCAACTTTACGATTATGTTGTTATCTTTTTCGACGAAAAAATAGTTCCAAGAACGATTTGATCAGCAGTGAAATTTAACAAACTAATTCTGACACAGTTATAAGCCTTCCCAATGAATTTGCGATTTAAAATGAAGTTAGTCATCAAGATTTCGTTTTAAGATGTCTACTAGAAAAAAAAAAAAAAAAAACGCAATTATATATTGGCCAATCCAATGAAAGATTAAAAAGACGTTCGTAACCAATTCGCTAATACTTTCAGTTGATAATTCATCGTGTGCGGGAGAGCTGTGAAAGTGTGCTAACGTTCACGACCGAGGTAGAAGAGTACTGCTGACGTTTAAAACGTATGCAAACGAGATGTCGCGCGTCGATAGACCTGTTCGATTCGATAAAATCGCGGCTGATCCTACACGCGGCCGAGAGATCCTGGCTCGTCTTTTCCTCTGCAAGAGCCATCAGTGTTTCACTCGAAATGCTCGCCTTTCTCTCAGCCGTGTTTGCCTTGAAATTTATCGTCTGTTTGCTTTCAAAACCCAAATCCTGCGGGACAGAAGGGTGGCACCTGTTGGCCACGCGCCTTCGTCTCGCTTTTCTTCTCACCGGCACCCCACCAGATCCTCAGTTACGCGATGAAGCATCGCCGTCTGCAGACACATTGTCAGATCTAAACTAGGAGATACGAAAAGCCTCTGGGCGATTAATTTCTCGTTTTGTCGATCAAAACGGAGAGAAGATTGCTCTCCTTTATGAAGAAAAAAAAACGTCATAGATCAGTGAATTCTTGGACTTTCGCAGAGAGAGAGAGAAAATATACGATTAAAGATGAAGCAAATAATTATTGCACAAGTAAAACAAGTTTCTTTTTCCCCAGATGTAAAATGGATTAATGATTGATATGTTAGAGAAGACTCGTTGCAAATCGAAGATTTCTGCGTTTGTAAAATACATCCCGTTCTTTCACTCAGATTCTATGATGCAACTGCAGAATTATAGGAGTATGGAAATTTAAAAATTAATCGTACTTATGAAATCGACGAGTTAAACAATTTCGATAATCGTTTAATTATCATTGATGTTTCAATTATTGTTTGATGTTTCAAACTTAAGGGGCTGAGGATCTAAACCATTGTTCAATGAAAAGCTGATTATCGTTATGAAAGCTGTGAAAATTCGCAACATTTGGAAAACCGAAGGTGGATTTCACACACGTAGGAATTGAAGTACACGTGGCTGAACAACTTGAGTTACAGTTCTTAATCCTTGTACTTCGTGTGTGCAACGTGTACTTAAAATCGTTGACAGAAAACCAGGTAATCTGGCTGGTCGCCCGAGGAAATACCAAAAGCCGATAGAAAAACGGGGCGTAAGAGTAAAACAGAAGCAGAACGAAGGTCTTAAAAAAACGTCTCCAAGCGCTAAATTGTCGATGTCCTGCCGTCCGACCATCTCAGCTCCGTCACAGACGTATTATTTTCCGGTAGAAAGAACTCTTTCGCTGGTGAACGCGCGTCATGCTCTGCCGCATCATCCTGATGAAATTCTTCGTTTCGATCCGCCAACTGAGTGATTCTCAGTCCTCTCTGTAGAGAAAACTCGGCTCGAATCGAGCCAAGATGAAATCGTAAACGAAATAGTCGTAAGCGAACGTTCGAACGAATCGTTTAAAATTGCAAAAGCGACTATTTTCTCGCGTTTTTTTTTTTTTTTTTTTTTTTTTTTTTGATCT